ATAAGAAATAATACTCAGGAATAATGTGCGATATTTTTCTGCACCTCGAATTACCAAAGGATGGTTTTAACACATTTATTTTATTTAAAAAAGTGACAAAAAAGAAAACCACAGAAAAACCCTATAATCCTACCACCCAAGGATAACAGCTGTTATTATATGTTCTTCCTGCCTTTTCCCTGCCGACATAGTATATTACATGATGCAATTACACCCTTCATGCCATCAAAAAGCTAAATTAAATTGCAAATGAGAGCCCATAAAATATTTTTAAGCAGGTCAAGCAATGTATTATTTGAGCCAGTGAGCCCATGGGGAGGGGCGAGCTGGGTTGTTTATATCATTTTGGTGTAGAGACACATACATGTAGAGAGGCAGATTTTTCCCCCTTTAATTTACTGACCATGGATCCCTTGATCATTGAAAGTAGGAATGGACTGCATTGGAGACTCATTAATGGAGTTACTGGGTCCCTAGTTTTTCAGAAGCCACACAAAGGCCACATATGGGCTGTCTATTTAATAGCTGCCACCAGTGCCCGTCAATTAGAATGCCCTGGCACTCACTGTGCAGGCCTGCCATTGGTGGCATACCTGTGCTTTTTACAGTAGGTGGTCATAGGAAAAATCCACCATAAATAGCTCAAGCCCTTTGAAAGCATTTCAGGGTTGCAGAGGGAAAGTCTATATCTGTGAATTAGACAGGATCAAAGAGCAGTGGGCCTTGCCAAAGGAGGAAGGAGCTAGCTTGAGTTGCTAGTTCAGAATCCAATTAATTTTTGTGTTGCCCATGAAAATATTTCCTTGGGCTTAATTTTTCAGAGTATGCTGGTTTCTTCTTTTTGTTAAAAAAAAAAAAGTTTAAAGACAGCAACTTATATATCCCTGCTTCTTTCATCCATCCTGTTGGTGTTTTCTAATGGAGACAATGGGATGAGGGGAGGGAGGCAAAGAGCCAACTTTATTCACAGTTGCATGGAATTTGCTCTTTCGATTTTGAAAAAGCAGAGGTATAGTAAGGCCTTACCGGAATAAATATCCATTTGCTCTAAACCTTAAGAGAGAAGATTACAGGGAAGGTCTCAAGAGCTTCCCAAGACCGGGTGCTTTCCGATAGCTCCAGCAAGGCTAAGCTAGTTGACAGCGGAGGCGGCATGCTTGTCCAAGGGGTTTTTGCTAAGTAATGCAGCCCGGATTTTGAAAGGGGGGGATTCCTTAGAAAGGCAAGGGGCATACTGTCATTGATGGCCAAAACTCTAGCCCTAGTTGCTCTCTTAACTCTGCCCTTGTTAAGAAATGGAAGACTTGTTGACAGGAAGAAGAAATATGACGGGGTTGGGTGAATGCTTGTGAGCATACAGCCAACGGGAGGGTCACCAATGGGAGACATAGTGTTCCCTGTGGGTAAGACGACGAAGAAAGCTGCCCTTGGAGTGCCAGAGGCCAGTTCTTCATTTCTTGGCAGTGCGGAGGCAGGGCTTTTGTGCTGGTAGAAACAGGCTGCCAGTCAACTATATTTATGGAGCACCTGCTGTGCAGAATTTGAAAAGGAGGAGGAGACCAGGCCTTGTCCTCAAGAAGCTTGTGATCAAAGAGAGAAGGAAACTCTCCATCTACTGTACAACCTTTAGCATTCACGATGGCATTTGAAATGGAGAGGACTTGGTGATATTTAGGGCATAGGCTGAAGCTTGTCACTCAAAGCGTGTGTCAGGGGATAACAGCATCAGCATCGCCTGGAAGCCTGTTACACACGCAGAGTCTTGAACCCAGAGTCATACTCTGCACTTGACCAAATCCCTAGATGGGGATCTGTTTGCGCTAGTTTCAGAAGCACTAGAGGGGCCTGGAGGTGGTGAGTTTCGAACGTTTTGAGAGGGCAAAGCTACCTGGTTCAGTGAGCAAATTGATAGAAAGCGTGGTTAACTTACATGGGAACTTCTTAAACATCGGCATCTCATCTTAGCCTCGAGTATAAGCCCCCATTTATTAACTTCATAATGAGAGCTCAGTGAATCCCAGTTGCATGGGTTCTTCTGATGGGCTCTTATTCAGTGGGGTCCTGTGGAAATTGCTGAGAATGAATTGTGGTTATAGAGGCAGCCAATGAATCTTGGGAATACTCAAATGATTTTTAGAGGAGTGGGCAAAGCCATGGGCAAAGTCAGAGGCAAAGGTGTGAATTAAAGTAAGGGAGAGTTGGGGCCCTAAGACCTACCTGCAATGGTTTGTTTTCAGTCTAAGTCATGTGCTGCTTGGCCTTCGACACTCCTGGTTCCCCATCTCTCCAGGTTTAAGACAGCTGGTATTCTTTGTTTTAAATGCATTGAAAACTATTGAGAGTTCATGTTCTTATCTTTTCCCTCCCACTAGGATTTGATTGATAGAGTTATTTACAGTGTGCAAACTCCATATAATGCATGTAAATTTCATCAAAATCCATTATTACCATTTTACAGTAAGAGAGTGAGAGGCCTACCTCCTCTGTTCAGTTCCCAGGTGCTTCCTCATCTCCACCCCAATTCCAAACATGTTCTAACATGATACAGCCCACAGACCTCGAAATAAGGCCAATCCCTAGCAGGTGGCATGTGTGGAAACACAAGGTATGGCCAAATAAAATTCTGATCATGATAATGATAACTATGAAAGGATAAAACATATACAGTGTGTACCATGATTCCTGCCCCTGCAGGAGCTCATTCATTCCTGCCAACAACCCTTGAGATAGGTTCTGCTCTTATTTCCATTGCATAGATGAGGAAATTAAGGCACATTCCACTCCTATAGACAGGGCAACATCCATATGAGGCTATGTGGCCATGACAATAAGACCAATCAGTTCAGTGGGAAAAAATGCCGTAATGTCTTTGAAAAGTCCACCAGCTACTTCTCCCTCCACAAGTATGAGCATTTGAGAGGGGAAGTGCAGAGCCCAGGTCCTGAGTCAAGTCAGGCAGACCTGGGTCAGAGCCTGGCTCCACCCTTCAGGAGCTGTGGGGCCTCCCAGGGCCTCAGTTCCTATCTGCAAAATGGCAATAATTTTGTACTGACTTCACAGAGTAGTAAGGATTATAGGACTTAATACATAATAGGTCCTGCATGCAGGGCATGCCAAAAAGTGGTGTGCTTTATTTATTCCTCCACTGGCTGTAAAGTAATGGGGCTTCTACGGTTCTTGGAAGAAGTTCTAGCTCTGCATTTTTCTTCTTTTACTTCCTGCAACCATCCTAAAAATGTACCGGCATATATATCCTATCCTACATTTCTGTAGTTCTGACTGCCTGGTATAATTGGCTGTTAATGACCCATGTTCTGTGGATTTATTGGAAATTAAATTAATCCCTTTAAATTCTCACTTTGATTTAATTTGAGGGCTACCGACACAATGGAAATAGATAATTCACACGCAGGGCACATTTACAGTTTCAGTGTCTAAGACGATTCTCTTTTATTTATTTACTTAGAATTCACCCTTGGCCTTACTTCCAAAACAGGATTTTAAGCAACCACAGCTTCCCTTGCAAAATAGGCGTTTGTTTACATAGATGCTGAGAAAGCACTGCCAATTTGATAGTTTATGCGCAATCACCAAAGAAGCCCTTCTTAATTTTTAAAAACAGTCGATTCACTATGCATTTAATGGTTTTCAGCAATAAAATGAGGTACGGGGGGAAAGGAATGAACGATCATTGTTCTTGCTTACTTGGGAAGAAAAAGAAACATAAATATACATAGACAACTGAAGAATAATTAAAAAATAATTAGTGAATAAAGAGTGTATTATGATGTGGTCTAGAATGCCAAGAAAATAAGGGAGAGAAGAATGGAATAATTAGCTCTGAGAGTCTTAAGAGAAATGCTGAAAAGACAGACCAAGATTGCTGTAGGATAACAGTTATTGCTGTAAATTACAGAGCTCTACCTGCGTGCCAAGAACTGTGCTGGGCATTTTATATAGGTTTAGCACCCTAGGGGGTCATTCGTCTTATTCTTTTTTTAAAAAAATATGTCTTTATTGATTTCAGAGAGAGGAAGGGAGAGGGAGAGAGAGAGAGAAACATCAGTGATGAGAGAGTCATTGATCAGCTGCCTCCTGCACGCCCCCTACTGGGGATCGAGCCCGCAACCCAGGCATGTGCCCTGACCGGGAACCGAACCCCGATCTCCTGGATCCTAGGTCGACGCTCAACCGCTGAGCCACGCCCTGCTGGGTGAAAATAGTTTTTTTAAACAATAAATTGGAGTTTGTACCCGGCACAAAAATTAGTGATGGCAGAAGATGTTGCTACACCCTGGCAGGCCTGCATCTCTCCTTCCTTGATTTCTGTTGCCATGACGTCGGTCCTTCCGTGCTCACTCCAGGCTGCCCAGGTGGGGCACTTGGCCTGCATGTAGTGCTGACTCGGGCCACATGGCTTGCTGTGAGGTATTGTTCTCCTTGTTTGGAAAGAGCCACCTGTGGAAAAAATGTGGAAAATCCTGTATCCAGTCAAAGATAAAGCTCCTGGGAGTGCCTATGATACAAAAACTTTTCTCTGATATTCAATTGTCAAGCAGAAAATAATAGTGAAAGAGATCACCTTCATTAACTGCCCTGGAGGAGCAGCTGGTTCTCACGCACGTCACTAATCCCCAGTTCTGGGCATCCACAGGGACTCAGCAGGGGAAATTCTATGCCCTTTGGTCACGGGGTGTGCCTTTAGCTACTTGAACAAAGAATGTTCTTTAACAGAAGTTTCTTAACAGACTTTTGCTGCCTGACTGCTCTATAATTCTGGATCTCTAAAGCCAGTTATAAAGTCTCAAAACCAGAGCTCTAACAATTTTGGATAAATGTAGGTGGAAATCTACTCCAGACATGTGTCCTTGACACTTGGATCCCATTTACCTGTGCTCTGTCCATCACTAGCCTCTGCCACCTCCTGGAAATCCATATAATACCATTTGGATGCTCACCCCACACCATATACCAAAAGGCAGGGTGTCTTGGGCCTCTTGATGCCACAGGTTGATGCTTTATCTGCTGCTTTAGCTGATGCTTTATCCCTCCTGTCACCTACAGGTAAGATGGCTTGCTACCTGGACTTGAGCACAGCCAGGGGCTATAAAAAGTAGCTCTGTGATACATGAGCCTAACACTTCTGTTACTCTTTTCATTTCTAGAAAATGAAGTGCCGGCCCCAGCCCCAGCTCCACCTCCAGAAGGTAAGTGAAAACACTACTTCATGCATGAGGGCTGCAAAGCCAGAAGGTCTATCCCAGCATGATTTGGCCTTCAATGAAGCTATGAGCTTTAATCTAACTCCTATGGAGAAGGTGGGTGACCACAGTTGTAATAGGTTAATAATAATAATAATAATGCATTGTGTTTACATAACCCTCTCACTTTGATCTAATTTGGATGATGTATCATATACTTATAAAACCCTTGGAGTTATACCAGAGTTGTAGTTATGCCCATGTCTTAGTGTTGCGGAGGCTGAGCCCCCAAGGGGCTGAAGGTTGCAAGGCTTTCTCACATACAGCTAAGAGCAAATAAAATGCACATCTTTCTTATGAGAGTGGGGAGCGGATCTCACCTCAGTCCTGGAAGATCAGCAGCCCCTTCTCGACTTGAACTGTGTCACCGTCAGACACCTTCAGGAACTCCGCGGGGTGTTTCTGGGAAGATTTGGTGGCCCCTGAGCCTCAACATCAGAACCAGTTTCTCCAGGTCTTAGGATCCTGTTGTCCAGCAGGTGGCAACGCAAAAACAAGGAGTAAAGAGTTCCAGTGAAGCTGGCAGGCGGAGGCAGTGCCCAGTGACACTCAGCAGGCCAAGGAAGCCTGCTTGTGCACCTGCATAGACCTAAGGAAGAGAACAGGGCTGAAAGGGTGACAAGCCCTAGCGGAATGTTAAGCTCCCAGCATGGATCCCCAGAATCATTGTCTGCCCGGCCAGTGGCCTCAGGATGGAGACAACCACAACTGAATGCCTTTCCCCTTGAAGACACCAAAGTGCCTTCTCTCATCACTCTTGCTCCTTGAACAGGATGTGAAACTGGCATTCACACAAATTCATAGATACAGAGAAGAGACCAATGGTTGCCAGAGGTGAGGGGGTTGGGAACCTGAGTGAAAGAAGTGAAGGGATTGCTAAATACAGATTGGTAGTTATAAAATAATCCCAGGATGTAAAGTACGGTGTAAGGAATATAGTCAATAATATTCTGATAACTATGTGTGGTGCCAGGTGGGTGCTGGAAATACCAGGGGGAACACTTTGTAAAGTGTATGATTGTCTAACCACTATGCTGTACACCTGAAACTAATACAAAATAATATTGAATGTCAACTATAATTGAAACATTTTTTTGAAAAAGAATTATTCATAGGGTGTTTACCATGAGCACAACTCTGCCCTAACCCTTCAGAAGGACACAGAGCTCTCTCCCAGATACTTATTAATAACTGGGTACAAACAAACTGTACCAAATATAGTGGAGAACTCTTAGAAAACATTTCCCTGTATTCAGTTTGCTTACAACCACGTAGGAAATAAAATACAGACCAGAGAACAATTAGATAAACTACAACCACTATGTTGAAACATGAGGCAAAACTCTAAGAACTTCGCAAGGCAGTATGTGATTTAATGCATGTCACTTGAATTGACAATGTGGTGTGAAGACGGGGGCAGGGGGAGGTCACTGTAGACCAGACCAGCCTAGTTGAAAGCAGGAATTGAATGAGGCCTCGGTAGCTGGTGACCTTGTTGCATGGAAATGTATAAGGGGATTATGAAACTCTTCCACCCTGGAGATCATTTTCAGGAGGGCACTTTGAGAAATCTAAGTGTTCACAGGAGCCCCTTTGTCCAGCTAAGAATACCTGATCACACGCCCAACCCCTTCCGTAGTATAGAAGAGTATTGCTATGTGTCAAAATGAATGAAACAGGCTCAGCGCCACAGGTAAAGTAAGCTCAAGTTTAGTTTTCTTTCAACCAGTATAAATGTGTGACACTCTTCTTAGGAACTTCTCCTTTGGTATACTTCCTTCTTGCATATACAGACTTATTTTTGCCAACACTGTGTACACTGAGGCCCTATAGGCCGTTACAGACATAACCTTTCCCTTCTGTTCTTGACATCAGTAGCTGTCACTGGGCCACTATAAAGCTTCCCTTATTATGCCATATTTCATATTTCATTGCACAATACTGACTTCCTGTTGCTCAAACAAGTCTCCTACCAAACTCTGCAAAAAGTCTTTTTATTAGTTAACAAAGATTCAGATCTATATTCAATCAAGAAAGAGAGAGAAAGTCATGCTTGAAAGAATTCTTTTCTTACATATACCATAAGTCAGACACCACTTACAGGTATCTAAACTACTATGATTCTGAACAGAGAGAAATGCAAAGTAGATGGTCTCAACAGATAAAATCTGATTTTACTGCTATCATATTGCATTTATTGCCACTCAACTCAGAAGGTTAATATATGCACCAAAATATTTTCTTTGAAACTATTGTACAATTACAGATTTTATACACTGGCTATATTATGTTACCATGATACTATAATATTATTTAGAAGTGAAAACTATTAGAACCACTACATAGATCAAACTTCCTTAAAAAGTTAGCCAGTCCCTTGTTGGGGTCTACAAGGAAGTGACACACATTTTATAAGTACCATGCACTAACCGATTGACCGCTGGCGCATGACCCACGTCTTATACTCACTTCCACGCCGGCATGTTCTAACATGAACCCAGCAACTGGATGTATTTTAACAAAGTCCGTACTGTATGTTTCTACATAGGCTTTTTTCAAAAGTGACCAGATTCATTGCCTTTATGAAAAGTTTAATGTGACTCTACATTATAATGCCCAAATCCATCGCCCCCGCACAGCACAGCAAATGAGCATGTATCATTTCCGATCAGCCTGTGTTCAGGCGCCCTCTCCCCCTGCCCACATCGCCCATCACACAACAAAGTACTTCCCTTAAGACGCTTTTAAAAATGTGCTTGTACTTTCCACACAGAACCAAATAAAGAGAAGGAAGCCGGAACAGCGCCACCAAAAGGTGAGTGAAGGGAGGGAGAATGGGGCTGAATTCAGTAAAATTAGAAACAGAGAGAGGCCCGTAATGATTGCCAGAGGGGCTCCCTGGAATTTCTCTGCGTTATCTTTCATCAGTGTGGTTAAGTGTTCCTTGTTTTCCTCTTACCTGCACAACCCAGTTAGCATAATGGCAAATGGTGCTTTGATCCATTTTCATTACACACATTTATAGAAGTAAAACAATGATAAATAAATATATATATATCTGTATATATCTCACAAGCCCTTGTTGAGGTGCCAGCATATTAATTGGTAGTTTCCAATTTCCAATGTGCATATGAAGGAAAAGGGGTGTCTGGCCTTCTTGTGATTACACCAATTTGGAAAATTATCTGGATTGCCCAGGGTTTGTTTTTTTTAATGGAATGTTTTCATGTTACTGTGTAAACTGTTCCAGGTTGCACTAGTCATTTTGAAAGCCAGCATCTCATTTTGTGACACTATGTATTCATGTAGATTTATATAATGATTTATGTAAATGGACAGGATAGCCTTAAGCAGACATCACATTTCTCCTTATTGATTTGGAAACTCATTTCTTTCTGCAATATTATTCTGTTTTTACTTTATATGTAGATAGTCTGGTTTTAAACAATGACTAACCTTTATTATGTGGGTCCATGAAATACTAATTCCTTTGTGTCCCCGTGGAAGAAGTCATTGTCATTTCCGACCACCTGTCCTAAGCTAAGGAGTATTAGTTTTCTATAAAAGAAAGTTTTCACAGAGACAGGTTTGACAATTCTGCTTTATATGTTTGTATCATGTCTTATAGATTTGTTTTTTATTTGTGCTATGAATAACAATAGTTAAAATTTTGGAATAAGCAATTATTTCCTGATTATAATAAGACCTTTCTCTTTTTTTCTGGACACCACTCCAAAGTATGTTAAGTATCTTTTTTCTTACTATGTCATATTTCATTACCTAATTCCTATAATATTATTGTCTCCTATACATTAGTAAAATACTTTTTTTCTTTCTTTCAGTACATTGGACCACTTTTCTTCAGCTAACTTGAACTTACGCTCTGATAAATGAACACATAATGTTGTTAGTACACTCGCTTTGCCCTTGACCTTCAGTGGCTCCCATGGATAGTAACCTGAATACTAATCCTGGCTACAGGAGACAGTCTGAAGGTTATTTGCTTACGGAATGCAAACAATGCAAACTCCTAGAACTCCTTCCATGAGATGGGTTCAAGGCTGTTTGGGCAGCTGGCTAAAGTTATTATAATGTTATTTTCCACAAAGCTGATGGCATACACCTCTGTTTCCAAATTTGGAAAGGTGTTTGGGCCAGGTTGTAAGGCTCAACCAACAGAGCAGATGACATAATCCCAGAGGGCAAGCTGTCAACATTTAAACAAAGCCTGTGCTTGCTCCTTTCTGTGAAAAGCCATCCAATTATATTTGTGTGCTTAAATGAGAAAATGCCTTTCTGTGTCTTAAAGTCAACCAACCAACTAGTCAACCAATCAACAAAGACTCTTCTTTATGCAGAACACAGTTTGATGAAAGAGCCAGACCAGATGACTAGGGAGGGAATCCTGAAATTAGTAGCATTTTCCCCCTGACATTTGCAGAAGTTAAGCAAGGCCATGGCCACATGCAGTCACATGCCCAAGTACATAAACTGCCATCTATCTATTTTCTCTACATGCCTAGGAAGAAAATCAATTTAGGATAGAAGGTGACAACCCTAAATAAAGAAGGTAGGTAAATAGAAGTTGTTTCTAAATATACAAACCTTTCAACTATCTTTCAACTATTACCCACTTTCATTAAGGACAGGAAAATTTCAAAGAAAATACTTAAGCAAAAAGTAGACGCAGTAAACATTGCTGTCTGTGTGGCCGTGGCTGACAAAGAAGGCCTGCATGAGCATAAATGAGACTGATAAGTGCAACAGACCTTTTCTCCAGCATTGACTAGAATGTCCTTCCCTGCCCTTCACCTTCCCCCAACCTTCAGTCCAGCTAATTGATTTTTAACTGTTCAGCTTGGATTGTACCGCTTTATTCAGCTTTCCCTGACTTCCCTCTCCCCTTCCTCCTTCTGATTTCTCTTGGACCTATTGCCTCTGTCGTTCAATTGCTCTTTTCTCCACTTCATCAAGTATTAATGGTTCATTTCTTTCCCTAACAGGCTGTAAGCTTTTTGACAGTCGGGCACCATGTCTTAACACCTCATTGGGCCCTCGTCTCATTTTTTCTAGTGTCTGGCAGAGAGCTGCACAAGGCAATCACCTAATAAATACCTGTAGAATGAACGAACAGTTGAATTTTCGTGCTGGCTTAGTTGCTGATCACACAGACAATGATAATCTAGGTAGAATTTTATTTTCATTTATTTCCATTTGCTGGGCAAGAGGATGAACATCCCATGCACACTCTTAATAATGAGGTTCAGAATGAGGTAATGATGCTGTGCATTGAGTGCTAGTCTACAGAACAGATAGGCGATGTAAGACCAACTCACTTAAAGCTATTGAAAATGGTCAAGCCTGGACATTACCACATTTTCAGACTTAATTAGTCCCTTATCTAATTAGTTGAAGTATATTCAGTTGATAGCTCCAAGATGGCCACTGTTAAGAACATTATTCATAGCAACACAGCCTTAATATCATTCCCAGATTGCCTGAATTGTTCTGCAACCACCCAGAAATGTGCCGAAAATTTCTGTGTAGCCATAGAATGTTGTTTGGTTCTGATATCCATCTTTCAAGCAGTGCTTGTGGGTCGATTTGCCAACTTTCCATGTTTGCTAAAAGTTTCTGTCTGGGAAACAGCCGATTTCCCAGGATGGGGTTTCTCTCTCTGTTGATTTGCTTGTTTGCTTGTTGGCCTCTGGACTTGTCCATCCAGCTATCCTGTTCCTTAACACTGCCACTTTGTCCTGGAATTGAAACAGTAGAGATGACAATAAAAAAAATGTATTTAATCAAACAGCAATACCAGAATTTACATGTGCAAATCCCTTTAAATCACGCTGGGAGGCAATGTCCTTATGTAAATAAAGCCACCGTGACTTAGAATTCTTCCAGAATAATGAGGGGTGGCAAACCAATAAAATGCAAAGTACATACTCTTTTGTTATAGCCTCAGTGGGGCCAGAGGACTGTCCTTTCCCATTCATTTACCCAGCAAGTACTCAGAGGCAGCTATGTAGCGGGCGAGGGCCTAGTGCGGGTCCTGCCCTGCTGGAGCTGACTTTAGGGCACTTGAAAGAAGAGAGGGACCATCCGCAGGATACAGTGGACCTCGGCTCTGGGAGCAGGCGTCACGGGGGGCCGCGGGCAGGGAATAATGAGGCTGCTCGAATGGGATTATACTTTTTGTGGCCGACCAGCACTGTATCGAGATCACAGAGGAAGAGACCGGCTCTTCCATGCCTCAGGGGGGCCCCATGGGAAGTTTCCAGAGAGGCCCAGCAGCATCAGTCAGAGGTTCCCCTGGTGACCAGGCCTCGTTCTGACCCCTCAGCTCTGACATATATCTATTCATTCCTATTTTTGTACTTTATGCGTGTATAGTCTATTTTGTGGTGAGCCCGATTGGAATAGTTACTGCCTCTTTTTTCTTTCCAAAAAACAACTGCTCTTGATAACCCTGGCAAGAGAAGTAAAACCTTTCTTTCCCGAGTCATTGACATTAACGCCATCGCATCATCCGAGCCACATGAACCCTGCGCACACCGAGGAGCTCAGGCACTTGAGTCCAAGCGTCTTTCTTTTGGCGTGAGTGTGGCCGGCAGAGGAGGAAGTGAATCAGCAGAAGTTCCAGAAAATTTCTCCTCAATAATATGGGTTTTTTTTAATTAAAAAAAAAAAGATTAAATTTTTTTCTTCATTTAGGTCCCTTTACATCTGCAATAACATCATCTTCACGCTTCTTACTAGCACGTTAAAATGTTTTTGTGGAATTTGACCTTTAGGTATCAGACAACCATCTACTAAATTGTCTCTGTGCTTTATCTGTGTGTTCTAATTACATATTTCCTTGTCATGAATTTTGTTAAAATAATATCACCATACTTCTCAATTCTAAGACAAAACCACTATATGGAGCTACATAGATTTAATAGATTTGGGGAAGGAAACACTTATTAAATAAACACCTTTATTTTAAGATGAATCCTGATTTCAGAAGCATCAAAATGTGAAGGCATGTGTCTTCTTGTTAAGAAAATACAATAAACTAATCAAACGTCTCAACACACAAAGAATTAGTGTCAGCTGTTGGTGTTATTGTCTTCCAGTGTGGCTGTGGTTGCTATCGTTATTTTTGGTCATGTATGTATATAATGACTAAAACTGATTATTCTGCTTGAGGAATTCATAAGTCTTTCTAAATCACATCAGGTGTTTTAATTTAAAAAGGCAATTTAAATCCACCACAGGTAGAAGTTATTTTATGTTTAAGAGAGTGTGGAGAATTATAAGAATGTAAATATTCTATTATCTCTGGAAGTCTCCCCCTTGAATTTTGGATTTCATGTGGAGCCCCCCTAAAATCCCAGGCTCGTAATATGAGACCAAGTTATTTCTCTCCTTTCCAGGCATTCTTCTATGGGAATTTCAGTTGTTTAAAGAATCATTTTTTACGGTTTTACAAATGCTATTTTCCCATGACTTGAAGACAAATAAATTCTGCTTTGGTAAATTTTCCTTCTCTGTCGCTAGGGGAGATAGCTCAGCTGCTCTGGGCCCATGTCCTCATGTATGCTGTATTCTAAAGAGCCAAAAGCAGATGTGTGTGTTTTCATCGTCATTGTAGTCACTTTTCAACAGAAAAAAGGGGAAACTATGTCTTACATAATTTTTTGTTTCGTTTTCTTTGAAAATGTTCTTTGTTTGGTGCCATGCTCTTTGTATGTGTGTTGTTGAATTAGGCACAACCCAAAAGATTTGGATATTCAATTTCTCTTCTAGAATAGAACCTGTATTTCCATGGTACAGGAAAACACCTATGAAACCTTTCATTCTCATCAAGTTCAACCATATTCAACCAGGCAGCTTTTCAAGAATTTCAGGTCAGGATCCCTACATCTTCACTTCTTTTCTTAATCTAAAGAGATGCCAGGACCAAAGCTATTTTTTAAAAAAAATACGTTTTGTTATGTTTTTTGTTTTGTTTTTTTAATTTCAGAGAGAGGAAGGGAGAGGAAGAGAGAGATAGAAACATCGGTGATGAGAGAGATTCACTGATCGGCTGTATCCTGCATGCCCCCTACTGGGGATGGAGCCCAAAACCTGAGCATGGGCCCTGACTGAGAATCGAACCATGACCTCCTGGTTCATAGGTCGAAGCTCAACCATTAAACCATGCCAGCTGGGCCAAAGCTACTTTTAAAAGAGAGGAAACAGTCAACTTGTCCATTATATCTTCTAGCACTTTAGAAAATCTGGAAATGTATGCACACAAAAATAAAATATTTCCAATTGAGCAGGAATTGCTGTTTGGAAGTAATGTTGGATCACCTAGATCATTTCATGACACTTTGAAGGATTGGTTTAATATGCGGTGCCTTAATAATCTAAACTAATTGTGCATGTCCCCCCAAATAGTCTTAACTTTTAGTGGACATTAAAACTACTCATTCTCCAAATTTTTGCTTATCTCTTCATTTTAGTTTTATGAAAGTATATGAATACTCTTCTCAGTCATTTAGCATTATAAACAATAAACTCAAGGATTCATTATATACTATGCACAAAGCAAGAAAACCACCACAAAACCTATATAAAATGTTCAGTTGACTCAAAATGGTTCTAGTTTCTAAACAAGAAAAGCTTCCTTTCTAGGATTTGGTTGAGGTTTAAAACTTCTTTCAATAATTTATATAGGACTTTAAATAAGATCCTTTATGTAATTCAGTAAATAAAAGTCTTCAAATAAGTTACAAGAATAAATACTAATAATGAATTAAATTTATGTCAAGTAATATTTTTAAATTGCAAGATATTTCATTTTTTATGTAAAATTTTAAAATCTAACAGTCTTCTGAACTATAGAATTCTGCTGATATCTCAGAAATACCTATACTTCCCCAAATGTATGATTTCGTGGGATGTTAGTGGATATTCCAGAAGTAAAACGTGAACTAAGTTTGGAAAATGTTAACTGCTGTATTGTTTCTTGACTCCACCCCCATTGCTGGAGCATATTAGCACACTGAAGGTTGTGAGATGTCTCAATAAAAGCATACACACAATGCAATAAAATACAAGTATTTAACTTTATTTAGCCTAACATTTTCCGAGCTTCTTTGACCACAGAAATCTTCCTCTGAAGAATCCTGAATCTCACAGTATCCAGTGAGTCACCTTGTGGGTTCTGAAGATAACACATTAAGGTTCTCTGTATATTACCCTAATCATTTTGTAAAAAGTAATAAAACATATATTTGGTTGACAGTCTTAGAAAAGAAATTTCAGGCTAGTAAATATTTGTTGCAAATATGCTAATAAATTATACAGAAATGTGCTATTTTATCTGAAGGAATCTTTTAAGGCACTTTATAATTAACATGTATGCATGTGTTTGCTGTATCCTATTTTATATAGTTATATAAGTTTTTATTTTGAAATCCACAGTATTCCGGTGTTTTAAGTACAAAGATTATTGTCACTTACACTAACACCAGGCTTCATGCCTTGGAAAGAGAGGGGCAGAGGTTCAGATAACACCAAATGCCTATTTAAGCATCTAAAATATAAAGACACTTTAAAATGCAGACATTTTAGAAAAAGGGACTATTGGGTGCCTCTGCACATAAACACCCCAAGGCATATTTTGAAATTTACCAGTGTGCATGGGTAAATATTTTTAGTATTATACATCATTGGCCAAACACCAATCTAATCTTGGGGAAATGCTTATGAAGTTTCTAAACTAACTATTGATGAACTTAATAAGTATGACAAATTGATTTATACTAGCTAATGTTGACTTTTATTTTCTAAATATAGAAGGGAAATTAATCATGAGGTTTTCGGGTGGGGGGAACAAGTTCTCCGACAGTACATATATACTTTTATGCCTGTGTCCAAAGGACCCTGGTATATGGGTGATGCCTGTCATTGACGTTAGTTACGAAATAAGCACTCGAAAGCCACCTCCGTTGTGGGTTTCATCAAAGTTATAATTTTTGGCATCCTAACCTGCAATCACATAAAATGCTTGCAGAGAGGCCAGTTTGTAATTTATGCTTTCATTGGGTTACCCTATTCTCTCACCCTTTTACTTACTTTTCTCTTTTTGCCTGAAATACTCAAATTTAATCTTTCAGGAACCAAGTCTTCTAAGGCTTACTCATCCGTTGAAAGTGTTTTGTGTAGTCTCTCTTCTTTTTCAGATTTCTCTTTTCCCAGGACACTTGGGATGAAGTCCCTTCCTCCTTGACTTTGTATGCCTATTTCTTGTTTCAGATGAAGAGGAAGCCTCACCGTCCCTTGTCCTGCCTCCAGGTTAGGATGATCCCAACCCCCTCTTTCCCCCGCTTTGTATTTATTATTAATTGACAGTATAGGAAGAGAAAAGGCAGAGCACCTTGATGAGACAAAGCACAGAGCAGGGCACCGGATTTGGCCGGTCCCTAAGCCAAGAGGGAAAACGTTTGGCTTTAATGGCAATTTTTTCTTTTTACATGATATTTTTTAAGAGTCTTCCATTGTGAAATAAATAAGACTCATAAATCTTGGATATAAATTTTACGGGCAAAAATGTATGTCTTCCATTTGTAGTTATGTACCCTTTTCCCCTGTTGAATATTTGGATTTTTTTTTAAAAATCTTATTATTTTAAATAAGACATATTTTTAGAGATGCCCTCATAGTTGAAGCTCTATTGATTTTCCATCCAAGCCAACTTCTAGTGTTTCCCTCCCTATCATCAGGAGAGGGTTTGGGGGATCCAAGGAGGTTGCAGTCAGCACTTCATTGGTACCCCCTGCCCCTTGCATCATCCGGATCACGCTTTCCTTTCAGGTTTGGGTAGTCGGGCCCTGGAAAGAAAAGATTCAGGTGAGCAGACGCCTGGAGCAATCACTAATGACCTCATTTCTTGAAACTGTACTGATTCTAATCTTTGTCCTATTCAGTTTGTAGCTCTGATAGCCATCTTTCATTACACTGCCTGTTACAAGAAAACTAATGTATTGAGAAACAATTAATTTTGCATGATACACGCACACACAAAATCAGGAATCTAGGTACATACACCACAGGTTGGTTGGTTTTATTATTATAACTATCATTTTTAACATTTGACAACTATACATAAATTAAGAAACTTTTAAAACTTCAATTTAGAGAATGCTAAAGTTAGATAATAATTCGCATTTTTATAGAACTTTACACACAGTTGAGAAAACACCCACAGATGCATCCTGTCAGCTGTGCTACAATTCTGTGAGGTCACTCATTCATTCATTCATTCAACAAATTTGTGTTGAATGCTTACTATAATCCTAACGTGGGTCTCTTATGGGCCAGGCATTTGTAGGTATAGAAATGAACAAAACAATCAAAATTCCTGCCCTCATTTTCTAAATGTGAATGGCCACTACCCACTATTATTATTAATATCACAGATACACACACCATAAAATTTCAACAACTTTGTTATTAAAACATCATGTAATCATGTGACTATATTGCATAACTTCATTGTGAAAACAGCGGTCTCTATGGACAGAAATACTAAGCATGATTGATACAACTAAAATAACTAAATCTACATTTTCTTCATTTTGAGAAGCATTAACAGGTAGAGCTGGCAACCCAAGCATTTTTTTTCTTCAGCTATTTAGGCAGCTGAAACTGAAGTTCTCTGAATTCAGCTCTCGGAGACAGAGGGAATCTCTACAGTTCTCTCTCCTACCCTCCTCACTGGGGTTGACTGATGATTAATCCAAGTTAAGCACCTGGAGAGCAAACTAGAAAATGCAAAATAAGGTTCATTTCCAGGTTCTCTCTTACCCCCTTTCAGGACACTCCTAGTATCCTTGAAATTTATACCTGCAGGTCACAATCTGCCACTTAATTGTCAAACTATGATCTCATCTACATGATCCTAAGAATTGTCTAATTACACAATAGAAAGGAATTTAGAAATAGCAGGCCAGGCTTGGTTGTCTGACCCTTCCCAGTTGACCTGCAAACCGACCCATCCAATTCTGGTTTTGTATATATATATATATATATATATATATATATATAGCCTTAGAGTCAGTCACCTGCAAAAATATTGAGAGTACTGCTTTAACGTATTTCCCACCATCATTTATCTGTTAGGGGTCAGGCGGGATGGGAAAATACAGGAGCCATGGCCTCTAACAAAGACAGAGTAACAACCTACCTGCAAAGTGTTACTATTTCTAGGAATTAGAAAATGTTCCTTTATCCCATCATGGAAGAGACATCCCTTCCTAAGAATGGGAACCTGTCACTCTCTACTGATGGCTGCAGGGGAGATGGACAGAAAAAATGGTGTTACATTTATCCAGGTTGATTAGACAAAGAAAAGCTTCAGCGTTGATGAGAACAACAAACTCAGGTAAGTCTGCTTACGAAGAACCTGGGCCTGCAATGACTCTTTTCCTCCTTTCTGCTCATTAGAATGGTCTCTTGGCGAGTCACCTGCCGCAGAGGAACAGGACAAGCAGAATTCCAATTCTCAGCTGTCCACCCTGTTTGTGGAAAAGCCTCAGACAGGAACAGTGAAAGTTGGTGAGTGCCAAGCATTAAATCCTGCTTTTAAAAAAAAAAAGCAGGTGAAATTCACGTAGCATAAAATTAACCATTGTAAAGTGAACAACCAGTGGCTATTAGTACAGTCAATGTGCGACCACTGCCTCTATCTAGTCCGAAAACGTCTCATCACCCCAAACAGAAACTTTGTACCCCCAATAAGCAGTTACTCCCCATTCTCTCTCAGCCTGTGGCAACCATTAATCTCTTTTGTCTCTATAAATTTCCCTATTCTGGATATTTTGTATAAGTGGAATCAGACGATATGTGACCTTTTATGTCTGGTTTCTTTCACATAGCGTAATGTTTTTGAGGTCCAGCCATGCTGTAGCATGAATCAGAACTTCCTTCTTACGGCTGAGAAATATTCCACATTATGTCTATATTAAATCCTGTTTTTATAACCTTGAAAAGGTGAGTGTAGCTATCATCCCAGTACTCTTTAGCATGTAGCAGTTGGGCGCCTGGAGCCAGCTTGGATACAAATCAGTTTCTTCGTCTGTCAAGAGGGGATGATACTACCTGTGAAGTACTTTGAATAATGCCTGGAGTGTCTTAAATCTCTGAGCCAGTGTTTGCTGTCATTACAACACACCTCATTCTATAAGATGATTACAACACTGCGTACACACACTAGATCATAATGTATAGTATTTCAGAGGAAGCTAGTCTAACAGATGGTACAACTCTGGAGATACTCATTCAAAAATACTGATTGCACGCCTGGTAAAATACTGTTCTGAACACTGAGTAAATATAACATGTAAGCACTCAAAACTTACTTTTAATGGGAAAAGCAGACAAGAAATTAAACAGATCATTACAAAAGCTGAGTGCCATGAAGGAAATAAACAGGGTGGTGAGTTAGAGAACAACTTGGGGTCCAGGAATTTTAACTAAATAACTTTTAATAAGCAATATACTGGCATCAGAACTAGTCTCTGACAATTACCAAATGTTATGCACATGAACATATGGCTGACTATATTCTTTCAGGTCGGGAATGTAGAACCACACTGCCTGTGAGTGGAAATGTTTGCTCCCCTCGTGTTTCTGGAGACACCAAAATGCTGGGCTGGCCACAGGGCTAGAGTTTTCATGTACTTAGGGTCTAATCAGCAATCTGTCATTCAAACAGGCAAGTTTATTTCAAAAAGATCAGTTTCATTTAGTCATATTCCCATAATTACTCCAGAATTCCCATCACTTGCCTAATAAAAAAGATTTTTAAAAATGTATACACTATATATATATATACATATATAAATTTTTAAGTTTCCCCCCATTTTTATTTCATATATAGAATATAAAACCAAAGAAAAATATTTCTACTGATTAACCCACTGCTCCTTTTTTGTTCCATAAACCTCAAATGCAGAACAAGTTGGAGTATCTAAGAACTAGGGTCCTCATGAAAATACCAGGGCCATTTCATTGCACAATTCCAGGGGCACCAGTCACACCATAGGGTATGCAGTGCAGTCCCACATAACCCCTGCCAGACAAGAGCAAAACCAATGACAATTTTCAAGCCAGTCTGATTCACTTGTGCTTTTTCTAGGCGAAAATATCACCTTTATAGCCAAAGTCAAGGCTGAAGATCTTCTTAGAAAACCCACTATCAAGTGGTTTAAAGGGAAATGGATGGACCTGGCCAGCAAAGCTGGGAAGCACCTCCAGCTGAAGGAAACTTTTGAAAGGCAAACTCGGGTATGGCCCTGGACTCCTGGCGCAGGGGAGAGGCTAGCTCATTCCGAGTGGGTAAAAGGTCATTTTTACATTCAGCTTTGAGAGATTTCAGTCCCAGAAAATTCTCCGGAGTTACTATTGCTAACATCTACACTTAGCAGGCGAGCCCTGCTGTGCCTGGGGGCTATGGAGCACACTGACCCCTCCGTAATTGAGAGCATCGTCCTGGAAGCCCCAGACAGACGTGTCTGTAAGCCAGTGCGAAAGGATTTGGAAAATAACTGAAATGTGGTGGCGTTTTTCTATCAGCAAGGTGTACACATTGTGTTGGATGCATTTCATTGCAGGTGTACACATTCGAGATGCAGATCATCAAGGCCAAAGAGAACTATGCAGGAAACTACAGATGTGAGGTCACCTATAAGGATAAGTTTGACAGCTGTTCCTTCGATCTTGAAGTGCGCGGTAAGAGAGCCTTTTTGTCTGGGTAAATGTGATTTTTTTTTTTAAAGGGGCATGAGGGGACGGAGAAGAAGGCCATTTAATACCATGAGATTTTGTAACTAAAGTTTCCTTTAAAACAGTGTGTGTTCCTGATTGTGATAGTCTCAGCAAGCCTGCTGAATTGAATAGTTATGAGGCAATTTATAAGTGGAAGGTGGGATATTACTGCCAGGTATCTCTTGTCCATGCTATCTACACCCCCTCAATCTCCCAGATCAGGACTGATGCCATTGTTTGCTGCTATGAGTGTACCTGTTTCATTGGGTCCACTTATTCCCACTCCAGTTTGGAGATAAGTTAATATGGTACAAGGATGTTAGGATACCCAGGTGGAAGGAAAATTTCTCTTATAGGGACTAACATCCTATATGGAAGTTCTCCATTCATCTGTTCTGTGTACTGCCCAGAGTGAACATAATAGGGATAAATGTAAAGCTGTACATGTAGATTGGGGGG